CGTGACACATGGTCTGTAGCCACTTCTCTTTATCCCCTTAAAATTTAGCTTCCCACTTCAGGAAGCAAGTAACATGAATATGTATTGGTTTTACTATGGACATGCCTTATCACGTTTTACTTTCTTAAAAGGTAATTATGAAACCCCCATGAGAATATTTCTATAAAGTATGGTCAAAGTACAGCCTTGTGTTGATAATTTAAAATGTGTTTTTGGGGGTGCCTAGTTGGCTCAGTCAGGTACGCATCTGACTTCAGCTTAGGTCATGATCTCGCGGATTGAGGGTTCGAGCCCCAAATCAGGCTCTCTGCTGTCAGCAGGGAGCCTGCTTTGGATCTTCTGCCCCCTTATCTCTCTGCCATTTCCCCCAACCCTCTCAAAAATAAACAAACGTTTAAAAAAATTTTAATGAAATAAAATATCTCTTTTTGCCTTTTAAGAGCAAGAAATTGTGTTCGTTTTTTTTTTAATGGAAAGAATATGGACTGATGACCCACTTAAATCCTGCCTTTACCAGTTAGTTGATTGGTAATGTAGAAAAGGTGGCTTAATGTTCCTAAGTCACATTTGTTCAGATAATCAACATAATAGCAGCACTGTTACTCAACTTTTCAATGGCATAAAGCTAGTAAATTTGTGGCCTAACCACTGAGGAAGCTACAGAGCAGAGTGAAAAAGAAAGAAATCCAAATTTAACTTTTTTTCCCCTCTTTCTACAATGGAAGATTTTATTTTATTTTTTAATTTATTGTCAAGTTAGCTAACATACAGTGTAAACAGCATGCTCTTGGTTTTGGGGATAGATTCCCGTGATTCATCACTTACATACAACACCCAGTGATCATCCCAGTAAGTGCCCTCCTCAATGCCCATCACCCATGGGGGAAAGGAAGGGGAAAAAATAGTTTCAAACAGAGAGGGAGGCCAACCATTAGAGACTCTTGAATGTGGAGAACAAACTGAGGGTTGATTGGGGAGGGGGAGGGATTGGTTTTCTTTTCTAATAGGCAAACGTTCTATTTAAAAGAAGGTGCTGTATTATTTCTTTGATGACTGAGCAAAGGATAACCAGGAACATTGGATGGAACTGCTAATATAATATAGTAATACTTCTCAAAGTACAGCAAAAACCAAATACATAGTATGAAAATGTTTTTTTTTATTTTTATCAGTGCAGGGGTTAGTGTTATCTAGAGAGATTTGTTAAACTCAGATTTCTGTATGCATGGTTTTGTTTTAAATTCAGAAATGTAAGAGAAAACATAATGGTGCTAAATTTGAACATAAACTATACTTTGCCACAAGTTTGCCATGAAGCTTTTATTCAACAGATAGTTCACTAAAAGAGCTGCAGCCTATGAGCTTTGGGCCAAGTTTCCCATTTCCAATTTTGCAACCGAAATTTCACACTTCTTTGGTTACTCTTGTGGGAGGAATCAGAATGCCAAAAGTCACCTTGATCTAAGCGGCCTTATCAGAGAAAAACTAAGTGTAGATTTTTGTTTCTCGTTAGACTTTTCTGATGTTTCATAGATAGGGTCACTTCAATATACTGAACTAGAGTTTGGGATTTTTATTTCATTTTTCATTGGACTGATTTTTTGGTGTTAGTCACTAAAATGATTCTAACTATTTGAAGGTATCTGGGACGTTTGGCATTGTTCTGTTATATTAAATATATATATATTTAGTTAACAAATCCTCTTTCTAGTTACCTAAAGTAGCATAATTAAAATCAGTTGTATGTGAGCTTTTCTTATTGAATTCAGTGTCTCTATTAAATACATTATTGAAACCTATACCTTGAAGTCTTTTGATTGAGAAATTGGCAAAATAGTTGACTGAAGTAAAAATAATGAAGCAACTTCCTGGTCATCCAGGTTACTAAAGATGAAAATATTTAGGATAAATTGAAGTATGAGCATTATGATCAATCTGTTTTCATAAATATCATCTTACACCTCTACCACTATTTTTAAAATTTTTTTTTCAACGTTTATTTATTTTGGGGACAGAGAGAGACAGAGCATGAACGGGGAAGGGGCAGAGAGAGAGGGAGACACAGAATGGGAAGCAGGCTCCAGGCTCCGAGCCATCAGCCCAGAGCCTGACGCGGGGCTCGAACTCACGGACCGCGAGATCGTGACCTGGCTGAAGTCGGACGCTTAACCGACTGCGCCACCCAGGCGCCCCCTCTACCACTATTTTTAAAGAAACTAACCTAAAATAAAGTGCCACTGATAGCTGTGCACAGCATGTAGGGCAAATTGCAGATCTTGAGCGGTTGCTTTGACCATTCCATTTTCAAATTTCCTATTAAAATGGAGGAGGGGAGCTGAACTAAATAAAAGTATAGGTGTGCCTGGCTGGCTCAGTCAGCAGAGCATGTGACTCTTAATCTTGGGGTTGTGAGTTCGAGCCCCATGTTGGGTGTAGAGATTACTTAAAAATAAAGTCTTTGAAAAAAAAAGTACAATAGTTCTGTGCAAGGTGTATTTATATAAACAGTTCTATAGGGCACTTTACCTTCAAGGTCATTTGAAGTGGGAAATTGCCTTTTTACCATAAACAATGGTCCATTTCTTGTTAATAAGATTTTCATCTTATATGAAGAGTCTTGGGGTGCCTGGGTGGCTCAGTCGGTTAAGTGTCTGACTCTTGATTTTGGTTCAGGTCTTGATCTCACAGTTCATGAGTTCGAGACCCGCATCAGGCTCTGTGCTGACAGTGCCTGTTTGGGATTCTCTGTCTCCCTCTCTGCCTGCCCCTTGTTTATGCAGGCAGTACTTAAGAATTTTGAATAAATGATCTTATTCTTAGGTCTTTGAACTCGATCATAATTCATAGTCCAAGTAGCCTCCTTATACATGAGTAGAATTACCAAAGATATGTCCTTATCTCCCAGAAGAAATATCAACCAATTCTGCCCAAATCGGGAAAAAAGGTGAAACTTGTTAGGTGCCATCACATGGTGTTGACTTAATAATATACATGACATGTTTAAAGTTAATGTAGTAGAATATAATTAAAATTAAACTATATAATCCTAGAAGAACTTATTTCAATTGTTTTCAAATACAAGATGGTTTAATAATGTGGGTCACAGTTTATTTTCACTTCTACAGTACATACATTAATTTCTGAAACTTGGGGTGATACGTAGTACACTTAGCTTGTATTAATACCAATGGCCAAACAGCTGTCCGGCTAACAGCCTGTACTGTAGATAATATCACAGAGACGATCTGATTTTCAGTTTCCCCTTTCTCTAGATAGTAAGGTTTCCTTCATCTTGTTATCCTACTCTCAAGACCTCCTCTAAATACATTCAGTAGCATTTCCCAAACGGTCTATTAGTTGTATAGTTCCCAAGAAAATGCTGGGTTTCGCTTGACAGAACTTTAGGGTATTGATTTGTTTGGGGGTTCCTGGGTTAAGGTTTATTCTTTGTCTCTTAGAGATAATTGAGAAGATTTCTTCCTTTTTGTAAGCTCTGTGGAAACAGAAGGAAATAGACATTTATATATTTAAAATGTGAGGAGAACTAAAAAATAAAGTGAAGTATAGCCCATGTAATATGGGGCTTATATCCCTCTATGACTTAGGAAAATTCCTTGTTTTCTAAAGCGTGCCTAGGTTTTTCTGGTTTGTTTTTGTTTTGTCCCATCTCCAGGACCTCCCAATTTTCAAGGGCACTGTGGGGCATATGTAGCATTTATTTGATGTATGTATGTGTATGCATATTTTGCCACATCTGTCTCTGCGGACCTATCCTTTGTGAAATCCTAAACCTTGTATTAATGCTTAGTTTGTGATTCATGGTGTTCTGAGAGCAATTATATAATTTTTCTTAGGGTGTTTATTCGATGTGCACTGTAAAAAAATGGGAGTATTTTTTGGTAACTCTGCAGTTGCCTTTTTATTGGTGAATTTCTCTTTCTTTTGCTGTGACCTGTGAATATCACTGCAGGCTCTCTGCCAATTTTGTGAGCCTCTGCCTGCTTCAAAATGGAGGCAGGAAGGTATCCATTTTCATCAAGAGGATGACAGTGTTTCAGTCTCTCCGACCATCTGGAGAGAGGAACTTTTGGAGCAAAAGAAAATAGGGATTTAAAAAAATTATATTTAGCAGAAAAGGCAAGGGGGGAACCAATTAAAGTTAAACTATACCTTATGAATTTATGCTTTTCCACTATGCTCTCTTCTTTAAAGGAAACCTAAGCAAGAAAATACACAGGCTATTTTTATAAAGGACTGGTTCTCCAACTCTCATGAGTATTAGTAAACGAATGTTCAGTAAATTAGGATTTTGGCACACTTTTTTTTAAGTTTATTGCACACACAAATATAATAAGAGCTGTAAAGGAGTGCTCCCCCCTCTTCCTGTGTACATGCTGATTGTTGGTGGTCTATGTAGATCTGGGCTTTTAATGGTCTTTTTTCATGCAGCTCTGCAAAAAGCTGACACTATGGGAATTTAATATTCCAAGATGTATTTGTCACTTTCTGTGGTCTGGATAGTGTATTCGTTTTCTGGGTCTCTGTCTCTTTCTCTCAGAAGTAAAAATTTTAATTCAAAGTTCAAGTAAAAGGGAGAGGCTTGATGCATGCCCTTCTGTTTTCACCTTTCATGTGCTCAGAGGCTGTCTATGTTTAAAAACAAACAAACAAAAAAAGGATGCTTGGACAGGACAGCCCTGTGGGTATTATATAATACATTTAACAAGACATAGTTCGCGTTATTCTTGCCTACGACTGGAAAATATCCACCCCTCCCACCCCCCGGTTTTCCAGTCACACAAATATACTCAGCATTTGTTGGTGGTGGTGGTGGTGATGGTTTTTCTGTATTCTGGAAGGGGTAGTGTTCTAGGGTTTGACAGATCTGGGATGGACATGATAGAAATTTAGCATTTAGTGCCTGCTTCTTCTCAAGTAATGGACCTTGAGGTGCTTTGTTCAATGCAGCAAGGAAAACTAAATTGTCTCTCCTTCCTCAGGTCTATGCTCCATCAGCAAGCACTGCCGACTACAATAGGGACTCGCCAGGCTACCCTTCCTCGAAACCAGCAGCCAGCACTTTCCCTAGCTCCTTCTTCATGCAGGGTAAGATGCTGCCTCTTCTGCGGGGAAATCCACTGGGCAGAATCTCCCCAGGTCTTCTCAGGTCATGCATGGGGCAAAACACTGCTGAACGGATCCTCAAGAAAATGGAATACTAGGCAAGCAGAGAATATTGAAGGCCATGCTCTTCTTAGGAATTGAATTCGTTAAAAATGAATCAATTAATTAAAACTCTACTAAGACTTATTTTTTTAAGTTAAATCCCCTTGAGCAATGATGAGTTTAGATAAAACTGTTTGGCTTCACTTAGAACTGATGCTTTGACGGGGATGGTCTTCCTGACGGATCATTTCAGCGTCTTCACTCCCCCAAGAAGAACGTATGTGTATTTTTGGAAGTGTTTTGGTTCAGTGTGTATTTTGAGCATCCTGGATGTAGCCAGCTGGGAACAAATTGTCCTTATGTATAACTTCATATAAAAATTTCAGCCACTTATTAATTTATAGGTAAGAACAAGAGTCCCATTTAAGGTGAAGCAAACCTATCTGAAGACTGGAGTATGATTTCATTACACAGTGAAAGCTCCATCCCAACATGCAAATTGATTTTGGGTAAAAGACCCAGCTTTTTTCCCAGACAGTTTTAGAAAATTACAGTTTCACAGTAGATAAAGTATATTTACTTTCAGTTGTGCAGTATATTGAATTAACTGTACGTTGATGTGTGCCCCCTGAGCTTATACTCTCGCCACTGCTGCTTGGAAAAGACCGAGGTGGTTAGAGTGACAGCACCTGCCTGTAAGAATAGACTGTCCAGAGATGCACCTAAGGCTTTGTCCCCAGTAAGCCTGTGACACTTGTTGTCAAAATGTGATGATCTTGTTGCCAAGTTAATACTCTGAAATTTAGACATGGAGTTTGCCAAGAACTCTTGTACCTGTATGCAGAACTTTTAACTCTTCCTGCCTGGGTGTAAAAACCTTTTTTGAGTGTGCCTTGGCAAAGTGCCGTGGGATTTCCTTTCCATGCTACTCTGGGAAGGGCCATATCATGGGAAGGGGAGCGCCCTTGGAGCAGTGAGACCAAGGGGGGGCAGCTAAGTGTCTCACTTAGCTTGCAGTGGACACACTCAAAATCATTCTGATTCAAAGGGCTTTATTTTCTTGTCCTTCAGAGTGTTAGCTTGTTTTAGGTTGTGAGTTCACATGTGAAATTCCATGGAAAATCTATGAAATTGAATTGAATGGGTCTCTTAGGATTGGAGAGAATTTGTTCCACACATAATAGAGCTCGTGTTCAGAAGGGTCCTTTATCTTTGTGACCTGTCCTAGGTGTAACTCACCAAGGGACACAGGGTATGTCATTTCAGTGTGTCCTCTGCCATGACAAAAGCCTTATCCCCGTTTGCTGTAAACAAGCAGCCACTTGGGCATCAGCTCCCCTCTTTTATGACCCACCGGAGAAACCATACCACTGGTGCTTGTAGTGATTCATCACTCAAAGCAGTTTTTCACCGAGAAAATTGGCAGGATAGATTTCTTCTGTCTGCCTTCAGGAAGGTGCTTGCATAGACTGCACACCGCATGGGAGGTCAGATAGATTAAAACAGCAGGCTCTTCTGGATAGCAGACCACGCAAAATACGGGGAACAAACTTGGCTTTTCTGCATATGAATGCCCAAGAAAGCAAAAAAAAAAAAAAAAAAAAAAAAGTTGACATTTATGATGAGCACAATTAATTTGCACACATCTAATTCTTTTCTTTCCAAACAACATTATGCCAGATCATGGGATGTGATAAATATTAATTTACTGTGAAAAGCATAATTTATGTAAAGTACGTATTTTTATAAGACTGCACTAAGCAGAGTGTTGTGTGTTAACAAATCCTAAATGTATTTCCGTATACCGCATCATGTTGTCAGAATGTTTCAGGAGACTCTTGTTCAGTGATACACATTCTCAATTTATTTGTCATAGATGCCATCTATTTGAAATGTTAGGGCCTTAACTTCATATTTGAATTTAAGGTGACATCTAAACTTCCACTGTCTGAAGGCTAAGTCTTCAGTACATGAATAATAACTTTTTGAAAGTCCTGTGTTTTCACATTATCATCGCAGAAACAGTATCCCATCCGGTTCCTGCAGTGAGGGGGGCATATGGTGCCCTGAGGATTCAGGGCTTAAAGAGACATACAGTGCAGGTGAAAGATGTTTAGAGAGTGGCAGGAGCATATCTCAAACTCACTACTATGTGACCTCTCGTTTTTCGCTTGAACTTCCACCCTCTAATTAAAACTCCTGAGTTGTCAAAATCACAGACATGATTTATTTTTTTTATTTTTTTTTTCAACGTTTTATTTATTTTGTTTGGGACAGAGAGAGACAGAGCATGAACGGGGGAGGGGCAGAGAGAGAGGGAGACACAGAATCGGAAACAGGCTCCAGGCTCCGAGCCATCAGCCCAGAGCCTGACGCGGGGCTCGAACTCACGGACCGTGAGATCGTGACCTGGCTGAAGTCGGACGCTTAACCGACTGCGCCACCCAGGCGCCCCAACATGATTTTTTTTTAAGAAGTCTATTGATCATTCCTCCCTGTCCTTAAACTATTCCAGTTTTTGGAATTCTAATTTCTGCATTTAAAATCTCTGTGAAAGAGAGCTTTGTGGTGTATGGTGGCAGATTTAACTCATGCATTGCTTAAATTTGCAAAAGGTTTTTATTAGACAACACATACAGATGTTAAAATAATCTTATTTTCAAGGAGGCAGAACACGCCATGCTGTGACCTAGCTGATGGTCCCACATTCAGCTGATGTTCAATAATTTTAGTTAAACTATTAGAAGAAGGGAAACTTCGAATTCAGCAACCACATAGATTTCCACCCCCCCAACCCCCACCGACCACCTTCATCTGAGAAACCCAGCCAAACATTAGTGACCTCTAGTAATAACCTCTAGGCCAGTAGACCCAGAAAAGAAAAAGAATCTATAAAAATGTTTTTAATATGGTGTTAACAAAAAATTAACTTAATGTTGAAAGGTACTTCATATAATGACCGTATCATTTTAAATCTCTTTTTAACTTACGGTTTTATAAAATCCAGAACCTCTCAAAATTGTCTGTAGCATAATATTTAACTTATGATAGGTGTGTACCCTTTCAATGGCTACTGAAGCTTAAGTAGTATAGCTACTGAAGCTATAGATATGTGCCAAAAGAAATTTCAGAACTGTGTATCTGAGAATCCTGCTCCCTTTAAGTCACAATGCAATTTCAACATTAATTCTATGTATGTTACGAGAAAGAAATCTGATCTCTTAAGTCTGAGATGTTCTTTTTCATTATTACTTATTTCTTTGTATGCTTTTAAAACTTGTGAACTTATCAACTCTGTAATGTGTCGAGAATTTTATTTTTACCATGAAATTTAGGCACAATTTCACTTTTAGTTTTTGTAGAAAAAGAGGTCAGGGGACTTCTAAGAAATGTTTTCTTTAGTATTGTTTACCTTGCAGACTTGACATAACTCTACATAGAAATGTATTGCGTTGTTCTTTTATAGCTGAATTTTTACTAAGAACACTGCCTATGGTAAATATTTACATTTGTTTGGCGATATAGAACCACTTGGGAAAAAATGAGGCTGACTGTCTTCTGATGTAATCAGTGAAACAGCACAAAGACCTATACACAACAGGCAGCCATTTTCAAGTATATGAAAAAACCCTATTCTGTGAGGCAAGGCTGAATGCCTCAGAAAAGTCATGGTGTTCTTTGTCTTTTACAGATGGCCATCACAGCAGTGACCCTTGGAGCTCCTCCAGTGGGATGAATCAGCCTGGCTACGGAGGAATGTTGGGCAATTCTTCTCATATTCCACAGTCTAGCAGCTACTGTAGCCTGCATCCACACGAACGTTTGGTAAGGGCAGATTTACATGATTCTGGACACAACACAGCTAGTTTCTGAAATCTCATCCTCTGTCTTTCCATGCGTGCACACAAGGACTCTGTAAATGAAAGTAAAAGTGGTATACACCCATCATTCTGATATTGTGTCTGTGATCAAAGACCTACCTAAATCAGAACACCTTTGTAAGCCCTTTCTGGATTCTCTTTGCTATTGTTCTTCTGTTCATTGTGTCTTATTCTGTGCTTTCTTGACGACAGTGTTAGGCTCCTTTGGCACATAAAGACACAGTGCATTTGAGTTGCAGAATTTTAGCTATGGTGGATCCTTTTACTTATTTATTTTTTTTTTATTTGCTGTCTGTAGTTTTGAAGAATATACTGCAGGGGGCAGGGTGACAGTCAGTAGACTGAGAGTAGGTGACCTGTATCTCCCATGGGCTTTTCCACTTCCTCTTTCCGGCTTCTGTCCCTGGTGACAGCTTTGACCCTTGGTGCCACACCCAGAGGAAAGAGTTCCTGTTTCCCATACAGTCCACTAGAAACAGCAACCATGGGGTTTCCGTATAGATCGGATTCCCAATGTTCAGTAGCTTAGCTATTGAACTCCATACTCCCCAACCTCCCCCGATGCTCCCTTGCCTTACTCAGTTGAAAAGTGCTGAGCTGTAGAATGTTACCTTGTTTTCATTACCGGAGTGGCCACTCCACCCATTGCCTACACTCATCCATCCTAATGTGGCGCTTTATCTTGAAGGAAGCAGCATTCATCTGATCATCTGATCTTTTCTAGCCTGAAAAACTCCCACAGCCCAGAATCCACTCATGAACTTAAGTCTATCATTATGTGGAGGAAAGACTGCTTCTAGATCATGAGTTAGGTTTGAGATGCAATTAAGGTGGGGACTGAGCCCCTTGGGCAGTAATATAGCTTTAAAAATGTATGAAGCTGTAATCCTACAGATACAAAAAGGATGTGGCCTATCCAGTGATCCTTCCTGGTACCTGTGTCACTACTCTTCGTCTTGAAATTGCCCCTTTCTCTTCTCCGAACACGAGATTCATGTGTCTTTCTCTGTTCTGCTATAAGACATAGTACTTTCTGGATTTCTGTGGTCTGTCCTCTCTTTTGCTTAACCATTAGAGATATAGAAAAGGTAACTTCTATACTATTCTGACAACATAAAAACATTCCAGAAGTTACAGTTTCTGATGTCTTTGAAAATACCTCTGTAGTTAGTCCTAGTGATAGAGACACTGTGGTCAGTTAGCCTATCTGTTGAGGAGAGGCACATGATGGATATGGAATTGGCCTTTTGATATCATCTGCCAAGTTTATATCATCTGTAAATCAAACTCTCTCAAATTTTAGCACATCTTCAGTAAATAGCAAATAATTTGCAAATTTCATCTTCTCTCCCCTCCTTTCAGGTATTAGAACAGACACTTAAAGAAATATCAGCTATTACTATACTAGAATTTCTTCTTGGCCGACATCCTTATTTCCCATCATCATTTTCCACTTCTCTAAGGAACTCGTGACCAAAACTTCATGTGTCCTGTGAGCAGGAAAATTTTGATTACAAATAAAAGATTTGGCAGTATTAACTAACATAACATGGAATGTCAGTTCTTCTAAGAGTTGTCCATTTGATATTTTCCTTCCTTCTTTCCTTCTCTTTCTTTCTTTCTTTCTTTCTTTCTTTCTTTCTTTCTTTTCTTCTTTTACTGTCATGCTGTAGAATTTTGCTGTAGGTGGTTTGATTTTATCCCGAATTCACTGCATGGGCGGAGGTATCTTTAAAAAATGCTCAAATGCATAAAAAGTGTAATTTTAAAAAGGAAACCAACTACATTCCTTTTAGAAAAAAAATTTGTTGGAAACCTTAAAACCAAAACAATATTATCAACCCAGGAAGAAAGATTATTTGAAGGAGTAGACCAACAGGTTATATCAGATGCTCTCTTTGTAATGTCATTTATCTGTCATAGAACCCAGAGTTTTCATTCTTAAACATGATTATTTAGCAGTTCTTAGAGATATAAGGTTTTTTTTTTTTAATGGTAAATGAATTAGGTCTCTGGTAATGTATCCTAATGAATTTTCTCACTGGTAGGGAAACTGTTGGATTATTATATCTAGTAATCATTGTAATTTCAGTATTCAACCATTTGAAAATCTCTCATTGAAATGCCTTTCAGAAATCTGACATTGATTAAGAAAAATGTGAGTATGCAGTAGGCACTTAGTGACTTTTCACTTGAAAATAATGGTAATTCCTCACAATTTTTGCCTGTAGCTTTGGCCAGTCTCGTGCAGAACAAAGGCATTGTGTAAGGAAAAGAAGAGATTTGGGGGCATAATTGGGCCAAACTCGTATTGTCTGTAAAGATACAACACTTTAGAAATGTTACTGTCTTCATCTCTTTATACCATGCTGTAATAGGATGTGTAGAGCCTAAACTCCACACATTTCGGTCGTAACCGTCAAGACCCCAAGCTTGATTCTTCCAATCCCTTTATGGTTTCAGCCTCTACAATGCAATCCCACAGCTAATCTCTACTATGTCACAGAGGTACATACAGAATCACTCAGAAGAATGGAGTTTGTGGTTAAGCTTTGGAATGGGTTGTTGCAGATTTAAGTTTGGAATGACTTGGCCGAGTTCTGTTTAGAAATAGAATAGAGTCCTCTGTCTGGCATGGTTTAGGCATGGTCTTTGCGCCACAGAGTGAAATAGTCCTAGGAGCCTGGAAGTGTATTGTAAAAGACAAGTTCTTTTATTTTTTGTAACATAAAACCTTACCCCAGTGATTCTCAACCAGGTGTGATTTGACCCCCTCAGGGAACATTTGGAAGTGTCCGGAGATGTTCATGGATATTATGACTGGGGAGTAGGTGATACAGGAAATCTAGCAGATAGAAGCCAGGGATGCTGGGAAACATACTACAATGCATAGGAGAGCCTCCCACAACAAAGAATTGTCTGGCACAAAAGATTAATGGTGCCAACATTGTGAAACCTTGCCTTAGCCCAAAGCAGGATTTTATTCTTTGTATGTGCCACCACTTATTTTCTAATCTTTGAATTGTCACCCCATAAGTTGCTAAAAACATCACTAATAGAAATATTTTCAGTACTTTGTCAGAAGGCTCCAAATATGCTATAATTAATTGGGTATCATAAGTAAACATAATTAAATAGTAGGCATGTAAAGCCGTAGCTCTTTTTCAGTCTCCCCTTTCCATGCATAGCAAGCAGGGCAGATGGCATCAATAGCTGGAGTAAGAGAGGTTGAGGGCACCTGTCATCGATGGTCCCTAAATACGTGGATTGCGTTGGTTTCCCCATTAAAACCTATGGGGTGGGACTTTTTCTGTCATTCTCTAAACACAGGATTAACCCTCTGTCTGTTAAATCTTGAATTAGTGCCGATTTTACGCCAGGTTAAAAGTGTGTAGAAATTTTCCCTGATGTGATAATCTTCTTCCTGCTTCACCCTGTGATTATATACTCATTTAAATATTTTTCAAAATTCTTTTCCACTATTTTCATTTTTGCATATCTGGGACTGATTTGTAAAGCTTCTCTATTCTTCAGAAATTCAGCATGGAATACCACTGTGTGGAAATGAAGGCAAACCACCTCTTTCTTTCAGTTTCCTCCTTCTATGTTCATTTTCTTTTTCTCTACTTTATTACAGTATTTAGCTCTCGAGCAGAGATAGTTGTTGTAAGTTTATGTTCTGTGACTTCCCCAGTCTTTTGGGTTAGATGTACTGTGGAACAGGCCCATTGTATTGTTATTCAGAGAAAATTTCATGGACTACTTGGGGTATTTTGTAAGCAGCAAGTAGAAATGAGCTTAACAGGTGGCCTAAGGAATTTTGGGATCAAGCAAAGAGTTCCATAAAATTAAAAAGTTTAAAAGATTTTCTTGGGAACTTGGAAAGGTGAAGGTATCATCTCAACCTTTTCACTGAAGTTGACCTTTCAGTTGGACTATTTTATGTAGAGTTAATATGTATGTAGAGATAATATTTTCAAGGGCACCCACCATGTCATTGGCAGATCTAACATAGGTTCATTTTCTAGACTGTTTAGTTCTCTCTCAAATGAATAGTATTTCAGTCCACTATTTATTAAATGCCAACCAATAACCAATTGTTCATTGAGTGTATAAGGTAATTATGTGGTCAGCACTCAGCCATGAGCTATTGGATGCACAGGTATAAACTGTATTCCCTCCTCTTAAGAAGTTCACAGTATAGGTGGGAATGCACTTGAAACAGAAAGCAATGAAAGGCAGCATATAATTAAGTGTTAAATGGCACAGCACAGACTGTGAGTGCATTAGGGATTCAGAGAAAAGAGATCATGCAAGAGTTGGAAGTTAGAAGGAATGCTAAAGGAAGAGCTAGAACCCAAGATGAGCCTCACAAAATTAATACAGAAGTACCAAGACACCAGGGTTTTACTCCTATGAATAAATGCCTGGGCTTTAAGCACCCCTGACTTTTAGCATCATTTTCAATCTCTAATTTTAATAGAATCTCTACTAATGATGTAATAAAAATCCATAGCTGATTAATATATTACATATAAGAAAAAAAGTGTATTGTACCCAAAATAGTTTTCCTTTACAGGTCTGTAACACATTCAGATACCTATGAGAGTGACTTTCCAGGGTACTTTTTTATCTTGAAAAAGGAAATAGCTTGATGTATTTTTGTAAAAAACCATGTCCCTGTTAGTGATCTGCTCACTCCCCAGCAGATCGATCAGTAGCAACAAATTTGCGTCTTTACAGGCTCTGTGATATGCCCCAAGAAAAGCAGCTTATTGGACAATTAGGATAATAATTGAACTTAAAGCCAAACTTAAAACAAATGATTCTGTAAAAATATGCCTTTTTCATAGTCAGCTATCTGGTAGATTGCTAATGAGGAGAACATGGAAAGAAAGAACTCAAATCAAATCAGTCCTTCTCAGTTTGTTCATTCCAGTTTAATTCAATAGAGTCATTGATTTGTTTTACATACTGATATTTATAAAGGTATTTAATCATTGGTACTTTTAAAATTTTTTCATTTACCATTTTGTTCTCACTAGAATTCAGGAAGGTGATCCAGTTTTGCAGGAAGAGGATTTGAGGCTGACTGTTTTCACCATTTAGTGTCGAGAAGTTCAGGATGAAGTGTAATGTCAACCCCATGGGTCATGATATTGTTTTATTCATTGTACCATGGAATCTTTCTTACTTGATCAGTAGTTCATACAAAAAAATTAATAGTAGAAACAGTCTTTTACATTGCTGAAATCTCAGAGATACTTTTAAGCAGTAATTTTTAGATTCAGAGACTATAATCATTTCTCACTGTCCTGTATTGCCATTGTATTCTTCTACATTCGATGCAAACCCAAATAACTATGTGTCTTTGCATTTTATTCTTTGAAAAATGAAAGCTGTCAAATATACTCTTGGATATTTTGAAATTCTAAGAGCTATCTCCTGCAAAATGAAGAGTTCTAAAAGAAGTATTAGAAACCTAACCCATTAAGTATTTTATGGTTGAATATGGTTTCTTTTTTCTGCTTCCTGCTATAGAGCTATCCATCACACTCCTCAGCAGACATCAATTCCAGTCTTCCTCCGATGTCCACTTTCCATCGTAGTGGCACAAACCATTACAGCACCTCTTCCTGTACGCCTCCTGCCAACGGGACAGACAGTATAATGGGTGAGTCATGGAAATGTCGATTCTGACGCCGACAGTCAATGTCACGGCTTAATAATATAGGACCTCTTTTTTCTCCTCGTCATCAAACGGCAATCAGGCAATGAATATCTGTCACGTAACTGAATGAAAATACATGAACCAAACAGAAATAGGCATTGGCTTGTCTATAATCACTTTTTTTTTTGTCATAAGAAACTGAAATTTGGCTACTTTGTTCATTGTGAGGTATTAGATTGAACAAGGCTTTCAGTAGATCCAAACTACCTTGCTTCTCACATTCCCAAACGGTGAGCAAAATGAATGTTTATAAGACAAACCGCCGAAGACTAATGAGATAGAGGGCAAGTTAGCTCCTAATAGTAGTTATTGACCACTTCCCAAGCCCCAGTCACCGTGCTAGGCTCTTACCCATGACATCTGAAGACTAGCTCCTATGAAATTCACAGGAGATTATTAATAAGGCTTCACCTCCTAGAGAATGTGGCATCGTGGAGTCCTTCAGAGGAAACGAAGCGTTTGCTCCCTTACTGGAGAGGAGACACCTGGGCATCAGTGGGCCAGAAGACATTTACTGCTTTCTCTCAAGCAGATTTACTAAGAAGTTGAGGCCAAGCAGAGCGCTGCTGCCAAAAGAACTCAGCCGTCATCCCTGGTTTTTCCTGATGTCCATTGTGATTGTCTCTCTGGACAAAGGATTCCTCCACCGGAGGGAGGAGCTAGGCAGGTGTCCAGTTGTCCCTGGAGGAAAGAGTCCCAGGCTGGGGAGGAGGCAGCCACCCCTTTCCAGATGCACCTTCAACAACTCAACGACTCCGCCATTCCGAGGAGCAGGCCAGCCTGGTGCTTCAGGGTCTCCTAAAACCTCAGACTTCCCTGGTTGCCACTGCTCTGGTACTGGCTCACACTCACACCCTGCTTGGCCTCAAGATCACTTCTAGTGGGTCACTGATGAGAACATAAACTGTTCATTTTCGAGAGAAGAATGTGTGGCAGAATAATCCTGCCGTTTATTCCCCTTAGCTCTTTGCAGTTTTTCATTTTCTTCAGAGAGTCCATAGGACTTGGGAAAGTGGTGTGAATCACTTATGTGGGAGTGTTTTTGATGAAAGGGAAGAGATGTACTTTGAAATGTTGCAGATATAATTCTGCCTAAATAATACACTCCCTGCTTATTCAATAATGTATTTCACACTTGAGACTAACCACCTAGCAGCCCTTCGCTATCATGTCTCACTAAGAAACAAATTTATAAGAGTTTCCATTTTTGTAGCTTTTCATAACAAAGCTTCTACAAGTGTGTTGCATCAGTTTGACCTTGGAGAGCTATGGACAGAGGTCACATGGGGAAGTTGGGTTAGCTATCAATGCAGTTTTGGCAGATTTGAAAAACAAGAAGAAAGAAAGAAGTGCAGAACTGAAAGAGTGAGGAAAGCATATTTCACTTCAATGTGGTTTGACAAATGGAAAGCCCCTCTCTACAGTCATGAGGTCTAGTTATAAAGAAGGATGACCGGTCATTCATCCTCTTACACGGCAGATTTCCTGTCTACTTGTGGTTTGAGTAATTTTCTTTTTTAGGAAGGTATAAAGGTGGAGCAAAAGCTTGAGTTGAGGAAAACATACTCAGGCACTGTCTGAAAAAAAATTTTGTTGATTGATTGACAAAACAGCCTTTCTGGGAGAGAGGCACCGCAACTTGGGAAGAAAGAGATGTTATGAGATGGAATAATCATTTTCCATGAGCTGTGGTCAGCATGGCCACAAGTCTCAGTGGGAATGAGATTTGCTTTACTTAAGATGGTTGACTCATCATTAGCGTGTGGATGAAAAGGAATGTCTGCTCTCCTTCTTCATCTGGTCTGGACAGCGTGGAGCAGTAGGTGACTACTGCATCCTGCCGGACCCACCTCTATACTAAAGAGGGAGTGAACTTGGTACATAGACCACAGGGCCCTGTTTAAGTGGAAGGAAGGTCTAGGCAATGATAAAAGAGCTTTAATTTTACGAGAAAAACATGAGATTTCTGGAACCCAGAAAAAGGTTTTTAAGAATAACTTTATTACATAAATTATTCTGTAATCATGGGTATACTTGTCAAAATCTATTAGCAGAATGTGAGAAAGCTTTATAATCTTTTCAGGAAATAAGTAGACATGGTAATTCAGCTTTTTGGAGGAACAGACCTTTATTAACTTGCATAAATGCAGTTATTACTTAAGGATTATGTTAAGGGAGAACATTCTAGAATGTTCTTTCTTAAAATAATATGTCCTCCAATTTCTTATATTAAAATACAGAGGAAAATTTAAATATGATAATAAGCCTTAGTATTGCATGCTGTCAAATGGCTCATGTTTCTTCACACTTTAATTTTCCTAGGCCTTGGATGGATTTTCAGAGTGTGGTAGAAGTCAGGGAAGGCAGCATGTCTGTATAACAAGAAGAGAAGATTTCTCTTCTGATGTTAGTGATACTTCCCTGACAAACAGTATGGATTAATAGGATACATCTGTAGACTTTTGAAAATATTTGGCATATACTCACTCATTCTGAAATGCAGGAAATAAAGAAATATTACATTGCCTGTATCTCAAAGAACAAACAGAGCTAATTAAATAATTGGTAAATAGGGAACACATAGCCTGACACATGTTTGAGATTACACACATGATTCTGTAGAAAATGACTATAAGCAATACTAATGCCGTAAGAATGGGGTTCAAGCACTAACACATGGACATCACATTTTTCAAGTTTTCTTGGTAAAAAAGTGCAAGGCAAAGCAATCTTTTCATAAATGGCGTTGATGTCTTAGGAAGCTAGCTGCTTTTTCAGTTCAGATCATGGCCCCACTTCTGAGTTTTGCGTTATAATGTGTCTTCCTGGAAGTCAGTCAATGTCCTGACCTGCCCCTAGAGCAACAAAATGCACGTGGTGTGAGATGTAAGCTCAGAACCCTCAGAAGGGAGCCCCATGGAGTCACTTTGCCCCTTTTGCCCCTGGTTCTGTCCTCTGCATTTCAAAAATGGAAGATGCTTGCCATGGTTTCAGATGGCTTGTGTTTGACTTGGTAGAGTGATCGTTGTTTCTTGTTTTGTTTTCTTTTGCCCTTAAATGCCCAATATCATTTTTTACGAAATACTTAAGAAAGACAAAATTTACCCAGATTATAATGACAGGATTTTTTTTTAATGACACATTCATCCGTAGATTTTCAAGTGAATTGTAGTTTATTTTACTTGTGGCATATAGTCCACTACTTTCTTCTGAAGCCTTGCCAACAAACCCTGGAGATTATTTAGACATTTGTGAATTAGAAGGGCCTATTAAGCTCCTGGAATTATATGAATATAATGCACGGGACACAGCATGGACTCTTAGTAATTCAACTGGTACAGTCCCCAGTTAGAGAGGAGCTAAATCCAGAGTCTTCCACAGTTACCACCATCAGTGCCTTTTAACCTTGTTCCTAAAACTCTTTGGATGTAATGCTGCTGGGTGTATATCAGAAGCAGTCCAGTCCACTGCCTCTTCATGTGAGCATGCACGCAGAGGAAGTGTAGTAAGTTATTAGATACCAGCTTGTAGAGGATAGAAATCTCTAAGAACAGCAGCCTTATATATTTTACTGTTTACATATTTCCTTCTTACCTACAATGTCTAATACCCCTTCTTGATCTAAAGGTTTGAGAGCACTGCCTGTTCTAACACAGTCCTCTAGACTCCTCAAGGACAAGAGTGCTCCAGCTGCCCACTGGGAAATACCATTTGTATACATTCCCAGGGTGTGACCCCTGGTTGTTAGAGGCTACACACACTCTCTTCCCCTCGGAGGGAATTGGGCATAAAACTAACATAATGTTTATAATAACTATTATTGTTTCATTAGTCTTTAACTGGCCTGCTTTCTAATGCATGGTACTTCCCATGTTTTTAAACCTCAAACCAAACAGTGTTGAAGGAACAGACTACCAAGATTGATTTAATGCAACATATGCTAAAGATTACCCTGGAATATCTATCTGGTTCATGAAATTAATCTGGCTTACAACGTTCACTCCTAATGACATGTTTGTATGACATGATGCATTTTAGTGTGTGGCTTTTCTAGTAGAAACAGTATGTCCATTTCCCCTTGAGGACTTGGTTTCACAGTAATTTTATTATTAGAGTAGTCACATAATATTCACTTTGTCTTTTGTAAGAATCTTGAGCCTTCAAATACAGTTGGGTGATGAACAGGCACAGAGCATAAGAGTAATATGGATTTTATCCAGCAGTGACATGGCATCTTAGTTACAAAGACCACCAACGGAGAACAATAAACTAGTTTGATTTAAGTCTTCTCGTCCGTTTCCTGCACATGGTCATGGGGCCCAATTCCTCCCCCTTGGATTCCTAGCAATCCCTCCTGCTAAAAATTAGTGCATTATAGCCTCTATTTGAGTCTTTATTCATGTGTAGGAAGAGTGCTAGAAAAGCTCCTTCTCTTGTCATCTTACAGAGAGGAGCTCATGGCACTGTATGCTGCTTCTAATAGTTTAAGAACACGAGGGTCATTTAGACACAATTCAGAAAATCCTAAATTTTAAAGCTGTCATTATCTTCCAGACAAATACACTATGAATTGCACTTCTTATTCCTTTTGTATCTTCACGATGTTTCCAGCCTGAGGTTATGGGTGTGCAATAAAGGGATGACACATTGTTCCAAATTTTGATTTTCAGGGGCCAGTGCCCAATCATCCTGGTGTTTTGATTAGGGTGTGTTCTAATAGGAATTGCCATTTCCACAAAGCTGAGATTGAGACCAAGGTCTCACATGAAACCAAAGATACCAGACCCTTCTTTGTGCTCCAACTTCTAGCCAGCAACAGCACCTGTGTTCAAGCCATCTGAATAATGCTTTGGGGGCTGGCAGTCTCAAATCCTCCTACAAAATTGCAGTTCCTTTTAATAGCTGCTCATCTTCCATTCCTATTTACCTTACCACTTTAGAGACTGATTTGGTTTTGTTTTTGTTTTTTTTTTCTTGAGCAAGAGAAATTGATTAGAGCTAAAATATCAAGAAATCAATCCAGGCTTCACCTAGTAAGAACAGTAGTTTTTACCTCTGTTCCTTTATATGAGAATTTTGGTAATTTCTAACAATATAAGTTGACAAAAACTTGGGCCTGGAACAGTAATTGAGTCCCGTCACATTAAAGCCATAAAAGTGGACTTGATGAGCACAAAGTTTAATTAGAAGTATGTTTAGCCAAACATGACCTATTACTACTCAGTATAAAAAAGATTATGCCATTTGAGAATTTAAATTCACTTTCTGTTTATCTGTGCCTTTTGACCTATCAGTCACACAAAAAGAGAAATCTTTAAGAGAAGGGCCCATGTAGCTTAACATGTTCAGGGGCTCGAAAATGTGTCTTCTCCAGCGTTTCCTGGAACAGAACAAAAGGCATTCCAACTGAAAGGGCAAATTGGCCCCAGTAAACTGCTTTGAAATTTAAGCCCTTAGGATTGGCCCTCCAGCTGCTACAAGGTAGAATGGCTTCATGTGAAAAACATAGTCTGTTCTCACCAGTGCCTCCACGAGTAGCTTTGTAGTTTTCTGAAACATTTTCATGACAACATGAGCTAAGAAGTTGATGCTAGTTTTTATTCTAGCTCCTGAGTCCTAGTATCTCCCTCTATAAAACAGGCACTAATAGAAAGTTTAGTTAGAAAGTTGTAGTACAAAAAGTAATCCTACTGATATATCTTATCTCTTCTAAAGTGTGATTTTACACTTGTATAACATTTATGTTCCTAAAACACTTCCATGAGTTTTCATGAAAATATATTTTGAAAAGTTTGTCCTTCTCATTTTAAAGTTGTTCAAAGGAAGAATTAATCTTTTCAAAGCTACGACTGTAGCAAAGTTCATTTGTACTTGAAACGATATCTTGTCTCTTTTGATTTAGGGGTTTTTTTTGTTAGATAATACCATTTTTTCTAGTGTGGCTCTGAAATTCCATTTCACAAAGATCTGTTTTCTAATCAAGCAGATCACAAATTAGTTTGACTGATAAATCTAATTTTTAGGTATATTTGATAATACTGCTTGTAGGAAAAAAAATGTATATACTTGCCCCCAAATACCATCAATAATACATGCTAAAAAGATGTTAGTGCTCTCTGTGTTTTCAAAATCTTTTTTGTTTTCTCTTTAGAATTGTCTTTTGTTTTTAAAGAACTCCTCAATGCAGAAATTTTCATTTTCACAGGAGATATAATTTCAGTTACCTCTTACATTTAAGTATTTTTAATATTATTGACATCCGTGAGTTCCTTCCACCAGCTCAATTGTATGTCTGACCGTCATTTCAAAGATGCACTTCAACCCATAATCCTTAGTGCTAATAACCAATATACTTTTTATATTATGAATTTGTGGTATAAAAAAGAATAGTTTTGTTTTGTCATAAAGTGGTTGTGTTCTTTTTTATCACCTACCAGTTTTCTTTCAGTTTTAGTAATTAACGAATGAATCTGGGTGTGGGTTTTGTTAACCAAATCAAGCACACATCAAAAGATTATCCAACTGACATACCCAACATATAAATATATAAAAATAGCAAGCATAATTTAACTATGCTAAGCAGAAGTCAGGAGAATGAAATTATAACCTAGAGAAGCAGAGAATTCAACCACTTGAGATCTGACCCGACTACTGCATTTTACAGATCTGGAAGCAGATGACACATTTGTCAGCAAAGTGTGCTTTCTTGGGTCAAGGTTACGGCTGGGAATTTTTTTTTTTCAATTATGTTGTATGCAGTGAAGTTCTGCTTGGATTAATCAGTTGACTTAAGATTTCTTTTTCTTATTTCACAGAATAGTGAAACCAGGTCCTTGGGTTTAATAGGTTTTATTTAAATACTATGTCTATTTGCTAATGTTGAGGCCTTAATAAATGTAATATGCCAAATGTTGTAGGTGTTGTATTAACACTGTTAAATGGAGCTGACTTTGAATCACATGCTAGAATCTGCATCTTTTTAGTAACGGTACTTGGTTCAGAATCTCTTTTGTGGTTAAAAATACCAGTGTTAAAAGATGACAGATAATTTTCTGAATATGTAGACTTATTTTGTCTCTGGAATTTGAGACCTTTATTGATTTTTAGTTCAGGGTTTTATAATGTAAACACAGACCTGAGTATGTGGAGAATATGTATTATTTAAAATATTAAAAATATTTTCTCTCCTAGGAAGCCAGGCTTGTTGTAGACTTCCTGTTTTATTTTGCTGAGAGGAGCACCTTGTTTTACTGTGTATCAGTTTTTTTAAAAAATGGAAAGGAGACATAAATTCTTTGTGAAGACAATTCTACTGACTGTATGAAATACAGAGAAAAGGCAAACTTTGAGGGCTTCAGAGACCTGAGTACTGCATACTTCTTAGCAATGAACTTCAGGTGCTACCTACCATTCAGCACTAACTACTCGTAGGCAACAAGGGGGCCAAGTAATAGCAACTGAAACACTTCATCTTTAAACCAAAGTGTCAGGTTTATATTTTATCTGTAAAAAAAGTAACAGGAATATATTTGACATCTACCTCAGCAAACAAATTAATGCTAATTAAAGATTAATGTGTTATAATTAGCATTAAAAATGCAATTAGATTGTGAGTAAATGGACCAGGAATAGAAAATTGTTAGACGTCTCACTGCCTGGTTTTTCATATTCTGCCTTTTGTTTTTGCAGCAAATAGAGGAAGCGGGGCAGCAGGCAGCTCCCAGACTGGAGATGCTCTGGGGAAAGCACTTGCTTCGGTGAGGAAATATTGACTTTGGACTTCATACGTACCATTGTGGAAGGGTGAACTTTAAGCAGAAGTGGACATTTGGAATTGTAGAAAATGAATGGCAAATAGTTTAGATTTCTGGAAATGCTAGCCTTCTTGCAGAATGATTATTGGAAAATTTGAGAAGAGAGTTCTGAAGCTTCCAGTGAATGGCTGACCCCTCTAGCCTGTCTCCTCACAATGGCGTTAAGCAGTCCTCAGTTATGGATTTGCAGATATTCTCAGGGCCTTGTGGTGTAGAGATTGTCTATCTTGATTTCTTATTTTTCTCTAAAATCATATGGGGCTCATTGACCAGCTAAGATGGACTTTGCAGGGGGCAGTTCTAAAACCCTTTGGAAAAGGCACTTACTAAAAAAAAAACCAAAACAAAACAGTGACCGTAACTCCATAACTTAGGTCTGTGAGAAATTGTCATGTTATCGGCACTTGGGGACTCGGCTTCTTTGCCTTGCCCGTCCACTGCGAGGAGCCTAGAGAATGGGACATTTCTTGCATGTTCCCTAGTGACCAAGTAGCACCCCCTCGTTTGTCTGAGGGAGTATACCCGTATGGTCCTCAAAAGCTAAACATGGTCATTTGCAAATGTAAGTGGAGATTTGTTGCTCTAACTTGGTTTTGCCTTACCACTGGGAGCATAAAATAAATTTGATTTAGCGTTGGGACCTAAGTAAAAGTTTATATTTAATCTGGGCATTCCTGTGCCTTGGCATCAAATGCCTTAATCACGATGGAGAAGAAATGAATGAAAATCATAAGGGATGATGCTGTCTAACCTATTTGATGGAGTAAGAAAGGGAGGTTTGGGGTGTTCGTGTGACCTACTCATGGCCACAGAGTGATGGTAGGACATGGGAGGGAAAGGACTAGAAGTACAGTCAGCTGAGCCTGTTCAGTTCTGTCCATACCATCTTCCATGACCTCATAATCCTTGTTTTGGAAAATTAAAGTAATTGCAAAAGTTTCCACTTGAGAATATTGATGCTACAGTTGATTGTTACATGTGTTTTGTAAGTTGCAATTTTTAGGTGACTGGAATGACACTTTGTCGTTGAAAGAATTGTTGACTCTTTATTCCTAATAAATGAGGGTTTGTTTGTTCTCTCCCCACTGTTTTAAGATCTATTCTCCAGATCACACTAACAACAGCTTTTCATCAAACCCTTCAACTCCCGTCGGCTCTCCTCCTTCTCTCTCAGGTACTGTATCTAAATCCAACCCCGCCACGGTACCGGTTTGTGAAAATGCTTTCCCTCTCATGCTTCCCGGTCTGGCAGGCGGAAACTCACTCCCTCCAAAAGCACAACACGTAACATTTCCGAACAGACAAATGGAAAGGAGTGGGAGAGAGAGAGACTGCCATATGAAAGTATAGCCATTTACATCCAAAAGTTTTCTTAAAAATTAGATGTGTTTAGAATACTCAGGCATACAGAAAACTTACTTCATAAACTGATCTTAACTCTGTAGAAGATGTTCAACAGAATAACCTACTCCCAACAAGTCATCTCCGATGAGAAAGCCCAGTTAATACAGTCAGGAATATGAATATAAATTATATAGTCATCAAGTATAGACAGTTCAAAAGGATCATTTCCTACAGAAATTTTAGACTTTCCACATTCCCTTTTTAAAGCCCACATCACTGGCATGTTTGAGGAAAACTATAATTTTGTAAATAAATTGGGAAGTAACTGTGTGGAGTAAAAGGAGATGTTTGCCTTTAAAATATAACAAATTAGCATGACCTATGGCTTCAAATAATAAAATTATTAGTTGTTGAATTATGTTAGTAAAGCATTTCACTTTTCAGAGTTCCAATTAAGAGGCTCATTGCCCTTCTAGTATAAATGCTTCCAGAAGGCCCTATCTGGTGCACGTCTCTGTTCTGTGGAAAGAGGACTTGTGGCTTCTAAAAAAAGCAAACCAACGAACAAACAAAAAACAAAAAAACCCTAAATTGCATCTATACCTGATTGAAACCCAACCTTACAGTATCTGTAGTGGAGTCACTCGTGTAACTGTCGCCTCCTCGCCTCCTGTTATTCCCTGCCTACGGCACTCACGTGCCCATCCTAAAGACACTGGGTTCCTTGGTAAAGAATGGGAGGTTTCAGACTGCCCAGAGCTTGAATTCAGAGGTGATGGCCGTGGCTTAGGTAGCACCGAATGTCAGCCTTTTCCAAGCCTCCGTTCACACGGAGCGGGTGGTCACAGAATAGAGAGGGATAGCCGAACCTTTAGGTCCACCCGTCCAGACGGACAGAATTGAAACTGCAAGGAAGCAGAGATGGTATTAAGAGGATAATGGAACAACCGTGAAACATTCCCTGTGGCAGGAAGGAAAGGGAAGTTTAGAATTATTATAGACCCCTGGGTCAGTATTATACCGGTAGGCTCTGGAGTCAATGTCCAGAGCGAGAGAAGAGCAGAGACAACATCTAGCCCAGTGAGGCAGGTGGTGAGGGAGCCTGAGCAGGGAGAACTCCAAGTTTCCTATTTCAAACAAAGCAGCTCTGATTTCATCCATTTTATAGTTTGGGGGAACAAAAAGAAAAACGTCCAGAGTCTAATAAGGCCTGAGCACGACTATTTTAGTCTGATGCTCTGATGTTACAGATGAGCCGACTAGGGCCCAGAACGGGTGTGGGATTTGCTGAGGCTGCAGGAGCAGCGGTACCAGAGCTCGGCGAGAATTCGCTGCTCACCGTTCTGCTGGTCCACTTCCAGAGAGGAAAGGAAAGCTGTGATGCGCAAATTGTTCCAGAAAACACCACAAATGCCCGAAACCTGAGCGGCTTGCGGCATGTGGAAGACACAGAGAAAAGGCCGCTTGGGGTCCTGCTAATGCACCATGAAAGACCACATATTAGGAAGAAAGAACTTTATGAAGATGTAAATATGCGGATAAATTGCTATTTTCACACTGAAAATAGCTGGCTCTGTCCATATTCTGTCACTAAAAGTAATTGAACAAAATGTCCTACTTTTATTTAGCATAAAAATACACATACATGCACACCCAGAAATGACAGAAAGAAAGGAGTTTTAAAATGCTAACCATGTCAGGGCGTAAAATTACGGTGAGATCCTAGGGGTTTTTTTCTTCCTTGAATTATTTCCTAGTTTCCACATGTAGCATGCATTATTTTAAATTGAAAAGTGGTTTTTATTTTGCAGGTTAGACATGTAATATTTACTGTAGCAGAAATAAAGTTCAGTGAATCACAAAACATTTTCTTCAGAAGGAACTACCTACTTATTACTGTTGTTATATTGAATTCTTAAATTTCTGGTTTAGTGGATCACTGCCAACTAATCTTATTCCCTTAAAAAATTTGGAAGGCTTATCCTTCTTAAGGATCATTTTTAAAACCCGTAGCAGTGCTGTTTTGCATTGGTGAGAGAATTTTGGTTCCACAGACTGGCCTTGCATGAATGAAGGTGTAACACAATCCCCCTTTGCATTCTTAAAAGTGGCTTGACCATGGTAGTGACCTCTTTTCTTCACTACCATCTGTGAACCATTGGTAGGAACCATTGTCTAGCTAAAATTCAGAACCAGTTAAATGTGCCCTTTTAGGAAGAAGCCTGAGAGAATTCTGAGTTGAAAACGTTTTCCTTGTCCCGGAATTCTTGTATGGGAAGTTTACATGTATTGACCTTATTGTACAAATGAAAACTCAGCATCGCTGTTTCTAAAAGGACTGTTTAAAATGTCTGCGAGATTGTTTTCAGATTATGTAGATTTCACTGTAACCTCCATTTTAATGCCAGCAGGCACAGCTGTTTGGTCCAGAAATGGAGGACAGGCCTCATCATCTCCTAATTATGAAGGACCCTTACACTCTTTGGTAAGTCTCATCTTCTAATCTCTCCTCTAGCCACTTCGTATACCACGTTTCTCTTTTTGCGTCTAGTTGACTCTCTAGGGTTCTTATTTCACTAGCGGGGAGCTTTAGACTAATGTTAAGCACACGAGTTTGGTTAGAGCCTGAGTCATTAGACTATATATATATATATATATATATATATATATATATATATATACTTATTGCTGTTTATAGATTGTAACCCAGATGCTGTAAGCCCGAGGGCTCCAAATACCTAGGGCCAGGTAAGAGATTAAAAATCCTGGAGAGAGAGTGGCATCCGTCTGTCTTTGGGAAAGATCCTTGTCAACGATTGAATCACTTTACTGATAGGAGAGCGCTGGAGTCACGCCGAGCTGTGTGGCTGGAACACTTGAAGGAGACCTCTGCCTTACTTTCCAGAGTGGCAGGCTTGTAAGGGCTTTTCTCTCCACCTCTGAATGAGAAGTCTACCATCTGTTTCCATGTTCGCTTTGGTTCTTCTCGAAATCGACTCATGTCATTAAATGTCTGCTCTTCCGTTAGGGAGTAGCTGAAAATTTCCATGAGTGCAATTAATATTATAAGTACTCATCCCATGATGATTTGTTATCTGACACTGTAGTCTTTCTCAAGTCATGGTGGATGTGGCTGAAAATGTGCATGAGATAACATTGCTCTGGGCGGTATTCGGTCGCTATATGAATCAAATGGGGAGAGGTAGCAGCAAGGAGCTCTTCAGCCCTTCAAGGATGGTTTTCCCTTTTTTCATCCATATTTTGAGATAGAACACGGAAGAGGCATTGATTGGTTGATATCTGCCTAACTTAATGTGTTGGCAGCAGGCCAGAATTTCCTTTCTTCTCTTTTGGCTTACTGTTTAAATTAAGGAAAATCTAAAAATGGAAATACAAAGGTGGATTTCCCCCTTGGTTGTGGTCTTCTTTGCTGTAGTGTGGAATCATTCAGCCATGCATTTTGGCCAATAAAGGCAGGCACAGGGCAGGACAAACGTATGCACTACCTGCTTAGCCTACATTAATTAATTAACCCGCAGCCCACTTCCAGAGAGCCCATAGTAGTTTTAAGTGTTTACCTCCATCAGTTATTCTCTGGGACCCAGCTGTCAAAACTAGGTTATGTGCCACTGTATAGCCATGAAGTCTAGGTTTGTAGTTATGAACTATGGGTTTAGTCCTCTGAATTCTCAACACTCACGAGGGGATTCACAAGGAGAAACTGCTCTCCCCACAAGGAAGCTGTGAGCCAGAAAGGATGATAGGCACGTGTATTACTTCCTTTCATGCTCACATTTACATGTGGAAGTATGTATTACCGTTCTCATTTTTATAAATTATGAAGTATAGACTCAAAGAGGTTTAGTACCTTGTCAAAGATTTCATAAGTAGCAGCTAGGAGTTTACGGGAGGTCCCTTAACACCAAAGCCCACCAGATCAGAAATGCTGTGTACCGTAGACTAACTGTATTAGACATACATTCCTTCTGTCAGTATAAAATAATTAGAAATTGTTTTTCTCATGCAGTGGAGCTGGTACATCTGTTGGCACAGCCCAGTGGAAGTCAAAGTAGACTGTAGCATGATCCGGTACAAAGCAGCACTAGATCTGAAGTCCGAAGACTTAGATTCAACCCTTCACTATACCATTTCCCAGCATCGTGACACGGAGTAGTTAATAATTAATTTCTCTGAGCCTCATTTGCACATGTGTATGGAAGGGATAATCCTTCCCTGCTTGCCTTACACGTGGAGAATGAAGAGCCAGTGAGATGGCATATTTTAAAAACACACACTGGAAAGTGACAAGCAGGTGTTTATTTGATATCATTATTGGTCATACCAAAAAAAGTTCATACACATCTACATGTCCTTTTTCCTCACAAACTCTATAGCATCGACCTTTCCTAGTTGCAGAAAACTAGGATCTTAGTGGCTGGGATGAAAAAAAAAAAAGTTACTTGGTTTTGAATTCTATAATTTAGTTGTATAAGGTGAATTTTATACAGAGCAAGGGCTTTAAAATCAATTAGAAGCCCCCGGTAAGCAGTTATTTCACATCTTTCTGATTCTTCAGTCGTGAAATCTCATACCACTTTGGTGGACAACATTTTTTTAATGTTTGTTCTATATCCATTTTGAGTTCTTACTCTCCTCTACACACACACAAGCTGGTGATAATAGATAGAAAACAAGACACATTGGTAAAAATAGATAGTACTCAATAGGAAATTATAGTCTGTATGCATTTACCTGTCTCTGACTTGATACGTAGCCCTGTATCATTTGCTATAAAGCAGATGAAGGAAATATGCATCCAAGAAGATCATTTAATTGGGAAACTATAAATGCATCATCTTTTCATTGTTAAGCTTTTGAAATCCTTAACCAATGCCTGCTACAATGTTTCTTACATTCTATAGACTTTTTTGTTCTAAAGTAAATCTAAATTCTCTTTCAAGCAAATGCAACCTAGTATAGCAGATGTACATTGTAATGTCCTAGAAGATTACTTTGTTCATGACAAATAACACTATGATATACCATTAACATTTTCTACTAGTTTTCTAGGAAGGTCACCATCTACTATTGTTTTAATGAAATAAATTTCATTGGAAACATATATTCAAAACCTCAAAGGATGATTTGTGTCAACTCAAGTTTTGTTTCTATAACCTCTGCATGCATTTCAGACTAAATCCAATTTCGCATTGTTTGTTAATCAACAGCAAAGCCGAATTGAAGATCGCTTAGAAAGACTGGATGATGCTATTCACGTTCTCCGGAATCATGCAGTGGGCCCATCCACAGCTATGCCTGGTGGTCATGGGGACATGCATGGAATCATCGGACCTTCTCATAATGGAGCAATGGGTGGTCTGGGCTCAGGGTATGGAACCGGTCTTCTTTCAGCCAACAGACATTCACTCATGGTAAGTGATGGCATTTGTAGACTCTTTAATTACTGATCCTAACAGAATTAGAATTTCAAGTATAAATACTACTACTGCTGTTTTGTTCTTTTTTAAGCAGCTTTATTGAGATATAATTCACTTCAATGTAATTCACCCATTTAAAGTGTACAGTTCCATGTGTTTTATTTAGTATGTTCACAGGGTCATGCAGCCATCACTGGTCTAATTTTAGAATGTTTTACCTCCTGAAAAAAGAAAAAGAAATCCCCATTAGTTGTCACTCTCTATTCTTCCCTCTCCCTGGACCCTAGCAACATTAATGTACTTTCTGTCTGTATAATTTGCCTATCTTAGATCTTTCCTATCACTGGAATCATACAATACGTGATGGTCTTTTCTAACTGGCTTCTTCCAGTTAGTGTAATGTTTTCAAGGTTTATACATATTTCATCCTGTATCAGAGCATCATTCATTTTTATTGCCAAACAGTATTCCATTGGATAGGTGTACATTATATTTCTCCATTTATCAGGTGATTCATATTTGGGTCCTTTCCACTCTTGGCTATTATGAATAATGCTCCTATGAGTACAAGTTTTTGTGTGACGTGTGTCTTCATGTCACCTGAGTATATACCTAGGTGGACATTTCTGGGTCATTGCTGGTGTTTTAAATTCTTCATCTTAGTAACGCATCTAAAGGACCCACTTTTGTACATGTTACATTGTTGACATTTCAGATATGGAACAGGTTGAAATTTTTTATTATTATTGAAGAATCCAAATCGATGTCTTTTGATGCTGAGTATGGGAGGCAGAAATATCTGGTATGTTTATTGGTCTAAATATATGGTGTGAGACTGTATAATTCAAGATATAGTAGTTTTATTAGTCACTACCCGTTTATGAATAGGTGTGTATTTAAATAATATTTAAGTAGATTTGTCTGTATTACAACTGGAATTTCAATTCGGCCCATTGCTTTTGAAAAGGATTTGGGAGTGCACCCTTTTTATTTAGGTGATTATGAAAATTCAGAATCTTCCTAACAAAATATTAAGTGATGACAGTAAGGTGACCGAATGGGTGGAGAATTAATCACTAGTGACTCTATGTAATTTTGCTTCTTATAAACTCCTGCCTGATCAACAAACACCTTAGTGTCCTGTTTTGTACCTTGTAGGCTCTTTAAAAAGTTGCTTGGATGAAGGTCTGTCTTCTGCTACCACTGTAGCATCTCTTGTTTCCTGATGCTTCCAAGAGGAGAACACAAAATAAGCACAGGTTATTCTGAGGCTCTTTCAGTTCTTGCTCAATAGGATTCTTCTGTCCTCCTTTCAGTTTCTCTTAATAAAAGAGTAGGATTGAGAGTACCATCCTGAGCAGTATATGATGGAAACCTGCAACCAATTTGAAACCAAAAATACTGGTTTATAAATAGAAGCAATGAACTCACTTCTAAAACGTGGAAAGATATTTTTGAATGCCAAAGCTGAATCTTTTTTTTTCTTTTTTGCTTTTCCTTGACCTCTATCCTAAAAATTCATCATTGAGTAAAAATTGTTTGTCTATTCACGGCAGTTGCTAAGAGTTTACAAAAGGAAAATCTAGATTTTAATTTAGCTTGGCCTCAGGTAATGTGTTAAATACACTTGGGATGCATATAATATGAGGTTTTAGTTTGTACAGCTCTTTTTTTTAAACTACAATGTTTAAACAATACTGCTTTTAATTAAGAAATCTGGCTTTATTAAAAGCCAGATCTGTGACTTATAACCATTTCTCTATATCTGCTCTCAATCAAGAGAAAAATAGTTTAATTTCTGTAGCTGTGTTCGTTTTGCATATGTTAAATGCATGCAATGTGCACCCAGGGCATTGCTTCAGAGACAATTTTTTCCATAAATATGTAAAGTTTGCTCTTAAATACCAGATGTAGGTTAAGTGGTTCTTTAAAATAATAAACTATACTTTTTGGAACTATTTGACCTTTGAGTTGCCTCCCCCTTGAGTCTGATTCAAAGGTGGGATAGGAGGAAGGGACTGGAGTCAACTTTAGAGATGGGAAGTTGGACTGACCTGGGGGAGGGGAAAGGGAGAGACTCGAGCAGAGCAACAGAAGGAGGGAAATAATCGGCCAATATTACACAGAAACGTTTTTGATTTGATTTTGAAAAAAAAAAAAAAAAGCTATGCAGAAGCAATAAAGCTGCTAGTTTTGCTGATGAGGAGAAGTTCCTGTTCACTCATCTGAAGACGTTTATAATTCAGTCAAGGATGCCCGCAGAGCCAACCAGGTAGTAGACAAACTCCAAAGACGTGGCATGGGGATGTCCTGCTGCCCTTTAAACCACGAGAGGTTTTGCAGTCTTTCTCTTTTCTTCTCAAAAACATCCAGCAGGTCCACAGAATCTCAGCTTCCCAGCCTGAAACCCTAACGTGTGTGAAAGAGATCAGATTGTCATTTCTTTCCTCGCGCAAACTGGTATGAATTTTCAAACAAAAACATAAGAACAAAGGAAATAGTTTTTGAATTTAGTCAGTCTGAAGTTAGCCTTTGACCATTTGATACATTCCACAATAAAAAGGAAGTTGAAGGGGAAGAGAAAAAAAAAAACCCACTCCCCCCCCTCCGCCCCACCCCCGAACAACAACAAAAAAAAAAATTCAAGGAGGATACTGGTAATGTTTTCCACATTTGAATTTTAATACATGAAACAGGCTATAAAACTGTGGCCAGCTGCAGTAAATAAAGTAGCAGTGGGAGGTAGACACCGGAAACTTCAGCGCAGAGGACACTGGTGGGTGTTTCTTTCCAGCTACACACACCTTCGTTCGTTGTTCTGGAGTAGAAGCCAGTTGTAGTAACTTAAGACCCGTCCCAGGGCTAGTTCTGTTCTGAGCAAATCTCCTTTATAAGTCTCCTCAATAATTCCTTCTGATTAAAGAACAGACAGCTTTGAATCCTCTTGACCTCCATCCTCTTGCTTCCTCTCTCCCCGCCTTCCGAAAATCAAAACAAAATGGCTTGATAACTTGGAAGATGATAGAAGCATTTCTCTCTGCAGCAGCTTGAAATCGTGGTGGGGAAAACTGTGGTTCTGCCTCGGCTATTATGTTATCTCATTTAATTGCTAACATATTGTACTTAGCTTTTGATTCATAAAATGTTTTCCTTGGAGTTCTGGAGTAGGTCTTCAGTGATTTACTAAGTATTAGTATAATGAAAGGGTTTTTTTTTTTTTTTTTTTTTTAGCAGCATGGCTTATAATGTTAGCGTGAATGTTGTATCCTTGCAGGCTTTCTAGATGATATTTGGCCATGCTCTTTCCTGTCCCAAAACCTTCACTGGCTTCCCATTATCTACAAAATAAAGACCAGTTTCTTAAGCCGGTTTGTTAAGCGCCGTTACCGTTGACCAAAAGCCTTAGGTGTACCGTGCCAATATGCAGCAATTCTTCAGCAGGACCAGTCTGTTCATTTTACCAGAACGTGCCGTGTACATTCTCATTAGGTAGTTCTCTTATGTCTGTCGGGCTTAGCCTGCTCTACCCACATTTCTCTGTCCTTCTCATTCCCCACCACTCTCAAAGCTCTGACTCAAATTCTGCTTCTTCCAGGAAGCCTTCCCTTGCTGCAGCCACTTATGATAGTCCATTTTCTTTTCTACTTTCCAGAGCTCTGTGAGTCATACTGCTGGCTAGATATTTCTCTCACCCAGTCATGTAAGCCATGCAGGCGTGGCTTTTGCCTTACCACCTAGATTATAAATTCCTTGAGTACCATGTATTACATTTTTGTACCCCCCCCAGCAAATAAATCTTCAAAGTGGGGAGAAAGGAAACTACTGTTTTCTGACTGCCTCACAAGTTGCCAGCCCCTCCGCCAGATGCTCCAGAAACATCTCAGGCACTCTTCCCAGGAGCCCTTTGAGGATGATAATGACGTCCATCTTAGGAGTTGGTTACATGGGCCTTAGAAGGCTTGAGGAGGCTGAACTCATGAAGCCAGCTTTAAACTCAGATACAATGCCTCCACCTTCCCTGTTCTTTGTTTACTACCTATAGCTATAGGTGCCCCTCTTCAGAACTAATTTTAGGGTGGTGAGAGCTTGGGACTTTCAAATCGTGATAAATGTTCCTTGATGAAAGAACGCCCAGGTACCTTGTGGCCAAGTTCCCAGAAGCTCTTTACCGAAATGCAGAGGTAAAGAATTTTTCCTCCATTGCGGTATGTTAGATTAAAACCCACATCGCCTAACACTTATTCTTAAATCAGCATGTCTGTGCTAAGTGGCAGGAGGTGTAGTGAGCTCCCCTTACTAGGGTCATGAAGAAGTAAATTTTAAAGTATTTTTCTTTCTCAAACCGCCCACGTTTCTGACAAAATCAAAGCAGAAATCTCTGAATGTGAGAGAATGAAGAAACAGGTGGGTTTGTCACTAAGCTCATTAGACACGGTTACCCAGATATAACCCCCCTGTGCTTCAGATACCTCCATGGTTAATCCTGATGTTAAATCGTTAGGTTTTTGTAAATTATTGAAATGGCAGTTTTTCAAATATAGTTCTCTCCCGTATTCATTCGCTCTTCAGATCCACAGATGAGACCTGAAAGAAAGCCTTTCCGATGACCTAATCTCCTCTTTTAACTGATTAAGAACAAAACCCACATCAAAAATGTCTTCATGTGACTTTGTATGTGCTTCTGATTACTTGTCAGTAGAGTCAGGAACAAAGGGATCATTTAGCTAAAAAATCTCCTCTGCTATTAATATATAATGTTACTGTGATTTCCAGATCCTTTTTGCTTAAAGTCCATTTATTCATTTCTAAAAATATTTATCAGGTGGTTACCAAATACCAGGCTCTGTGGTACCACGTGGTCTCTGTTCTCAGCGGGTTCGTAGTTTAGTAGAAAAGGACACATGTTTAAAACCAAATTGCTGTGGAGCCTGCTTGGGATTCTCTCTCTCTCCCTCTGTCTCTGCCCCTGCCCAGCTCACGCACACTTACTTTCT